GAATTGAATATCTATTTTAACTGTCACTTCATCAAAATGAAATAAAATTTAAGATCTATTTCCTCAGCAGCTCTAGCCACACTTCAAGCGCATAGTAACCACATGTAGCTGGTGGCCACCAGTAGGACAGCACAGAGCCAGCCTCAACAGCTGTGTGCTCCTGATTCTCTTTCCCAAGTTCCTCCAACGTTTTCCTCAGAATATCTTTCATGTCTACTTATTTTCTCTTTTCAGTGCAATGAAATTACTCCAGAGAGTCACCCTGACGTTCTTAGAAATAGTACAGTTTCAATTATACCTCTATTACAAGTGTGATTATAACAGGTACTTTAATGAGTACTTACTATGCACATGCACCGAGAACTGGCCTAAACACTTTGCATGTATTAACTCACTTAATGTTACATTATAATAATTAAGTGGGTGTAATCACTATTCTGTTAAGTTGCTGAGGATCAGACCAGGATCTCATGCATACTATGCAAGCACTCTACCACTGAAATATATCCCTGGCCTCCAGTATTCCCATTTTAAAAATGGAAGAAACAAAGTATGTGGAGATTAATTTCCTAAGGTCAGTTACTGAGTGGAAGGGTTGGAAATTGAGCCCAGCCTACCGAATTTTACCCACAGCCCACACTCTGTACCACTATTCTGCCTCTGTCTCACAAATATATACATTAAAATGACAGTGTGAGTGATGGGATTATAAGTGGTTTTATCATCGTTTCTTTTTTACTTATATTTCTATTGTCTGCCAATGAAATGTGCCACTTTTTTTTAAAGAAAGAGACATACATGCCACTTTTATAATTTTTTGAATTTTTTAAGTAAGTCTGCTCACTCTCAGTCTGGTTTAGTTTTAGCACACTCTTACCTTGAGTCTAGCAAATAAACAAAATGACCTCGTGCATGTCTTCTGATCCTAATAATGTATTATTCCTTTGCGCCCTCTGACAGCGAACAAAAACAATACATTCTGCTCCCCTATGTACTTCATGACAAATGGAGAGTTTTAATTTTCCCTCTTCACCAAATATGGCAGTGTTTTAAGTATCTTACCTTGATGATTCCCAATCATAGGAATCATTTTCAATCTTATAATTTTCCAAAATACTTTCTGAAAGCCCAGGGATCCTGAGTGTTTTTTAGATCTGGCCATTTCACTGTGGAGTTCAAGCCTCAATAATGTATGAGCACAACACAGGAGGAAAGATAAAAGCCCAGGGAAGTCCTCTGCCGAGCTTCCACACTTTCCCACCTACTACTGAGATTCATCGCAGGAAAGTTAGAACAAAGAAGGGATCACTCTGCCCTCTAATGCTATGCTTTCTGCATTTCTGCTAATGACTCCTACCACTCTTTCACTCTAAAATACTGACAAAAATCCTCAACACATCCCTCACTAGCACCTTACACCTTCAATCAGTAGCATCATCTGACTTTCTCTTCAGCCTATGTCTCCAACTTTCATTTATCCCACTGCCACCACCCCAATGCAGCCCTTTTATTAATCTCATCCTTGACCTCAGTAAAATCTTTTTTTTTCTTTTTCTTCTTCTTTTTTTTAAAGTGGGACTCAAACTCAGAACCTCGCATTTGCCAGGAAGATACTAAAATCTTCTGAAATAACATCACCACCATCACCCCAATCTCTCTGCTCTCATCTTTTGGCTGTGTCAACCATGTTTATTTTCTAATCTTGCTAATCCACTCTGAGCAGGCTGCTATCTTGACCAGAAATCCTTCAGGGATTCTCCACTGAGTGCATAACTTCTCAACCTTATTTTCTATTGTTGGCCACATTATTCCACATTTCAGCCAACTGGTCATTTTGCCATTATTTCCAGAATAGTTTGCATATTCTACCTGTAGACCTTTGCCCAGCCTCCTCCCTCTAGAAAGCACCCTTCTTCTATCTCTGCCTATTGAATGCTACTGATTATTCTTGAGGTGGGTCAGGAGGCAACTGTTCAAATAAATTTTCATCACTCTTTTCCTATCTACCTTTTTATTGCCACTCCTGCACTGTTTACCCCACGTTAACCTTATGTCATCATTTATAGTCATTGTGTGCATAACTTTTCTGCCTACCAACATTTCATAAGCACCTATTCTATGTCAAGGGTATGAACTAGGGATTTTCCATGCATTATCTAATTTGATTTAAGTCTTACAACAGTCCTGGAAGATGGGTATTACCATCCCTACTTTACAGATCAGGAATCTGAGGCTGTCAGAAGTTAATTAACTTGCATTCTTACTAAATGAGTCATTACTCATTCAACAAATTTTATTCCAATTCATGTCTGACAGATTCCCAAACCCCAGGACTTTCAATGTAAACTGGGAAGTCCCTTTGGGGGCAATTAGCACTGGAATCTCTCAGCAAGGCAGATTATGTTAAAGTCAGTTTTCTGTTCCCCTCTCATTTGACTTAGACACATTGTACTATGAAAAACTCACCTTTGGCTCCCAATCAGTACTTGGCCTGGATTAACACAGGGCTAAAGAAATGATTAATGAAGACAAACATCACATAGAATGTTTAGTTCCATTGGTGACCCTGATTATTATAAAACTGGGAAAGGAACACCAAGCCCCTGCACAATTTCAATAGGGCACAACTCTTAGTTCTTTGCCACCTCTGATTAGACTTCAAGCTAAACCTCTCTTTTTCCTAATTAGATGGAGAGCAATGTCTCGGCTTTCACAGATAGGCTGCAACAACACCATTGCCATTAGCATCAGCCTTGACCTGATAAAGAGTCCTTGACATTAACGCCCAATGTGAGTTTACAAGAAGTTCATATGAAGATTAAGAACAGAAAAGGTCTAGTCTACATTGAGCTAGTATTTTACTATTTGAGGTTGGAAGCCCCAAAACTTGTTGGGTCAGTTCATATTGCCAAGAGAATAATATTGTAATAATGAGTTTATTATGTTCCTTATTATTTTGGAGTGGAGGGTGTTCGGCAGCCACTGTTTGCTCAAGGAGAGTGTAAACAGAACTTACTGATGCCTGCAGCCAGTGAGGGGCCTCCCACACCATTTACAACTTGGCATGGGGCTGGGGGGGATCTAATAATAAAGAAGGAGCAGGGAATGGGGTTAAGTAATTCTATTTTGGGTTTTAGATGTATTTTTTTCTCCAAGCCTCAAAGCAGTCCTTTCTGAAGGTGTTATTATAATGCCCAGTCTATAGATCTGAAAACTGGCAACAGGATTGAAATCTTGGTGTGTTAAGAGCCACACCTTAAGCTCACTTTTTCTGGTAGGACCATTTACTTAAGCAAATATTGGTCATTTGAATAGGAGTAAAAAAAATTTTTCACCCAAGTTAGTGATCTTAAATATCAATATTCTTCCCTCCCCCCAAACTAACATGATATGAAGTGTTTAATGTCTTAACTGTCTCTTATTTTTCATAGTTGACAAAGATCACAACAATAACTGATAGATGATCTGTAGGGTTTTTACTTTCCACAAAGGAGTCACTAATGTGCTTCTTTGAATAGCAGACTTGCTTGGATTCATGATTATGGTTGATTACACCAAAGGCCACCAAGGCCATTGAGCCATAGAAACTAACAAAGTCATCCTGTTCCCAACCACCTTTAAAACATGCCATAAAAACTCTTGATGGACATATAGATAGCCCAGGGAAAGTCATCATTTGGACTAATAAAAATTATCAGAAGTCCCACTGACTGGTGTCACTTTTGTCATATTCATGAATCTTTCAAGTCAAACATCTTTATTCACACAAAAATCCCTACTTCTCCATAATTTAATATGTTGTGGACAGTCTAATGCTTACTAAGTCTAACACCTTACTAATAATATATCTCCATATAGGATAGAATTGTCCTTGCTAACCAGTTAATGCTGATAACATATAAAGAATATGTTAGCCTCTCAAAACCTTAGCTAAATTTGACATTGGGTATTACTTTTACAGTGCCAGACTCTTGAGGTATTTTGAAAACTTTCACATTTCACAGATAACAGAAATTTTATTTTGCTTTCCCCAATGTAGCTCCTGTAAATATATATTTTTGCTACTGCCATATGTTTTTTTAAACTTAGGGCACAATCTAATATCCTTATTTCAATATTATAGAAACTACTCGATTTTGTTATTCCTAATACCTTTTTGTATCCCTCCAAAAAGAATTTTCAAAAGATATTTTTGGTTGGAAGATATTTACTACCTATCATCTGAATTACGTTGTCACCAATTTAGAAACACCTTTAGAAAGACATAACATATGTTGGCAGAAGTATGGAGAATAAGAGTAGAGATTGGCAAAAAACTAGATGTTAACTCAAAAATCTGGATCAATGTGAAACACGTGCTAAACAGCAAACGCAGTGTGCTGAGGGGAGGCCAAGCTAAAAGGGCATCTCATTCAGCAGCTCACAAAGTACCTGGATGTTCAACCCCAAGGCGAGAGAGTCGGTGGCGCCCTACAGTCCCTCTCCGAAAGTCTCCACCTTCACCTTCACCCCCCCGTTTTTTGAAGTCATGATAAAAACCACAAGGATTCCTACTTGGTTCCACCACTTTCTTTGGCCTTCCTAACTCCTTATCCAACCGCTCTCCTTTCCCCTTTCTATTTTGCCTTTCTGCACATAATCTTTTCCAACCACTTTTCAGGTAATTTCACTACATCTGGAGGACAATTCATGTTTTTCTCCTTTCTCGTTCTGAGTCCAGCGACCCAGGCCATTCCTCCTCTTGGAGCTGGGACCCTTCTCGCAGAGCTCAGCACCCCAAGCTGTGGAGGTGATCTATTTTGTGATCTATTTTCAGAAGTCTTCCAGCGGGTTGGCCTCCCCCTGACGCCAGCCTGATCCTCTTCCCTCCCTCCATGCCTCATCCCCAAAGAAACCCAAACTCCGCGGCCTCTGAAACTGTGCCTGGATCCCCAAGGTCTCCGCCTGGATCTAAGATGTTTCTGACCAAAGTGGGGTCGGGTCGGAGGGGCGAACGGTACCTCTTTGCAGGCGTGAAGCTCCGGTCCAGTTCCCTGGGTTACCTGGAGGACGGTCCCAGCCCAGAACAGGAGGCACAGAAGCTGGGACGTGTGCTTCTCAGCTCTTCCCCTGCCTCTGGCAGAGGGATGGTGGCCGTGACCAGGATCGGCCATAGCGCTGTGCTGAGCGAACGGCAGCAGCGGCTCAGGTGCTGCGGCGGCTGCTTCTGTTGGCAGAAGGAGGAAAAAAGAGGGAGGGAGGTACACAGGGGGAGGATGCAAGGGGCCGGGCTCGCTTCAGTCACCTCCCTGCGGCCACGCCAAGGCCGCCAGTCCTTCCTCCTCCCTCCGTCCTCTCCTCCTATCCACGTCGCCTTGACAACCGCATCCTCTTTCAAACGGCCGGGTGGGGTGGGGACCGCGCGCGCCTCCGCGGCTCACCTGCCGGTCGCTATGGCAACCGCCGCCGCGTGGCGCACGCGCACCCCGGGGACGCAACCGGCGCGGGCGCGGGGCTAACGCAAAGCACGCGGAAGAAGCAGCCTCCGAGCTGTCGCCAGTAAAGTCACGTTTTCTACTGCCCTGCCGGGCCATGGGGCTATTTCTAAGCATCTCTGATTTCGCAAACATGGTGTGTGAAGCCATACGATGAAAATGGCCATCTGTGCCCTCCAGAAGTCGTCTCCTAGAAGAGTGGCTCAGTACGCGTCATCTACTGCCAGAGCCACTTCTGGATATTACTCCCATCCCGCCAGGTCCGTCTGTGTTTCAACAACTCGCTCTTTGATCAGCCCGGATTCTTGTATAGTTAAGCCGGGTATGTCAAGGTGAGCTTGCATCACCCGGCGATTTTCCAAGCCAGACACGTAGGCTTCTCTGTCTATCGACATTTCCATTCTCTTTGCTCTCCCCGGGTGCTGGGAGTTGAACCTAAGGCCTCGAACATGCCAGGCAGGCACTCTACCACTGAGCTGTGCTACATCCCCAGGCCTCTCATTGCTTTGAAAATAGAGAATAATTTTGTTAGGTGCAAGAGAGAAATTTCTGGGTCGTCTTCAAGTCTTTTTTCTTCAACTGAAGTCTTTTGCAGAAGTTCTCGGTGAGATGCGGGTGCTTTTCAACCTAGATTCGGGAGTGCAAACCCAGTGCTGCCTAGCCCTCTCCGCCGGGCTTTCCCTGTGCATTCCCGGCAGCTTCTTCCTGAGGGTCTCTCCCGAGTTGAACCACCAGGTGGCGCCTCTCGCGAAGGGACTTCATCTCTGTAACAGCTGGAGCTGCAGTTGCCTGGAAACCGAAACTGGGAGTTCCAAACAATTGGGTCCAGGAATCCTCAGCGAGCACGATCGTGAGCGCCTGCGCTCCCAAAAAGAGCGTCTCGCTCGGCATTTAAGCATGCCTCCCACCCGGGACCCTTTCCAGCACCCTACGTTAGATAACGATGACTTCTATTTGGGAAAACCGCGGGCTTCCAAGGTACTATGGTTATTGGGCAAATTCCCGGTAGGGTCTCCTGCAGTCTCCTTTCTGTCTCTGTGAAGGGCAGAAGTGGTCGCACAAAGACCTCTGGTAAAGTTATTGAGTCGGGTACCAGAGGTCTGTCTTCCTGTCCTCATATTCAGGTTTGCTAACATTTTCCGTTTGTAGTTGTTTTGCTTATTCTTGGTTTTGACAATTGAGCATAGGGCCTTATGCATGCTAAGCAAGTGCTGTACCACAGAGCTACATTCCCAGCACCCCCTCCCTTTTCTTTCTTTCTTGTGGTTGTTGTTGCAGTGCTGGAGACTGAACCAAGAGCCTTCACAATGAGCTACATCCCCAACCTTTTTTATTTATTTTGAGACAAAATTTTGATAAATTGAATTTGTGATCCTCCTGCCTCAGCCTCCCAAGTAGCTGGGATTATAGACATTACCACTGCCCTTGGCTCAGAAATGCTTTTGAGCAGGGGGAAGGAGAATTAGTTCTAGTTCTAGTTCTCAAGGGGCTATTGCAGCTCACAGCAGTGATTAGTTAACATAATGGGGGCCCAGCTTCCACCAAGCCACTCTTTTCTCTGGAAGGCAGCTCTCCAAAGAGATATGAGATATGGAGTAGGTGAAAACTCCTCTGAAAGACAGCAGGTCTTGCTTTATACATCTGTCCTCATAGTACCTCTGTCTTCCGGTTAATGCCAGTGTGTGTGTGTGTGTGTGTGTGTGTGTGTCTGTCTGTCTGTCTGTCTGTCTGTCTGTGTGATGATTGTGGTCGGTGATCTGGGAATTTAGATAATCTTTTTCTGGTAGAAGAATCTGGGATACTTGCAAAATAAAGTGAATTAAATGGTAAATTAAGCTTAATAACAGTATGAAAGAGCTTCCTCTTATTCAGTATTATTTACCATATGTCAGGCACTCTGCTTAACACTGAAGGTATGTAGATAGACTCGCTAGAGCTCCTGCTCTCCAGGAATTCTAGTAAAGATAGATCGACAACAGCTTCCATAGTGACAATGGCACAAGTGTGGTGAGCACCAGGAACTTGAAGGAAAGCTTCCCAGAGCAGATGAGTTGACATCCAAATATGAGTTAGCTGGGCCAGGGGAGGGACGGTGGGATGGAAATTAGGAGGAAGGGAACAGAAATCAGACATTCAAGGAAATGCAAGCAGCAGGTACCCATACGTGGAAATGAGACGGTAGGGGAGACTGAGGGATTGCATATCCCAAAGAGCTGAGGTGAACTGGAGGCATAGAGTGACTGGAGCTGGAGAAGTGACCTTAGTGGCTGGGTGTGCTGGGGCCTAGGATTTCATCCTAGAGGCACAGAAATCGTTGTGGGATTTTAAGCACTAGAGTGAGACAGTTAGATGGGTGTTTTAGAAAGCACATGTCAGCTGGGTGTGATGGCACACACCTGTAATCCCAGCAACCTACGAGGCTGAGGCAGAGGCCAGACTGCACTGGGCTGAAGAGAGGATGGCAACAGGGACAAAGGACAAAGTGGAGACAGTGAATGTTGACTCTTGAAGAGAGTTCTTCAGGTTCTGTAGGGAGGCTGATAGGGTGGTGTAGACCATAGTAAAGGAATGGGAGAGGAGCTGGGGTCGGAGGAGGGGGATGCAGAATGGTACAGGTCTTTGAAGCAGAGACAGCCAGGGAGGAAGGGCTACTCTTGAGTAAAAGGGATGCCCTCTCCCTGCGGTGGAAGAGAAGGGGGTGTGCAGCTGGTACTGAACAGTCTCGACTTTCTCAGAGAAAGACAGTCTCATCCTTGTGCCGACAGAAGAGAGGATGAAGCAAGGCTCACGCTGTGTATCGTCCTTCAGCTCTCAGTGATAGCAGAGTGCTGGGTATCACTGTTCAGCTATGGTTTAATTGAGCAGAGGCACAGAGCCCTTGGCCACATTGACGGGAAGGAGGGTTACGACACTCCAAAGGTTGAATGAGAGTCTAATGGTGCTGGTTGTACTCACTGGAATTTAATCAGTGATTCAGCCAAGATACCATTTTTTAATACCATGTGTTAGGTCACCAAGCCAGGTACCTGGGATACAGTGGTGGAAAATACAGCAGTTTATGAAGGAATCAGTTGTGTGCTTTCCACATTCATCCTTGTGGGGAGAACTGAATGTCTTAAGGGACTTTTTCTGACATTCCTTCCATCAACAAATGACCCTTCCTTGCTTGTTGAAACTTTTTTCTTACCTACATAGATATTGTCCCTGCCTTTGTCCCTGACTGCTTCCTGTAGGCCCTTCCTCACTTCCGCTCAGGAGACTGTGCAGTCCTCACGAGCCAGCTCTTCACTTTTGGTCAGACTCCTTTTTGCAGGCATCAGCTACTACCACAAACTCCTGATCTGTGTTACTTGTTCTGAGCCCTCCATTAAGTTGCCCACTTTCAATTTGCTGTTAATGCAGTAGAAGTCTCACCTTTTCTCCAAACCCAGGATGTCAAGCCTGTCATCATCTTTCCCACCTGCTCCCCACACAGGGACTTGTCCCAGTCCATCCCTTCTCCTGTTCTCCTGGCTCATTTCTGTCAGTTCTCACTAAGAAAAACTAGGAGCTCTGCCCCACATCATTCTTCTTTTATAAATCTGAGATTGAAAAAAATCAAAGGGAATAAGGAGAAGGATGTCACAGGCCTCCTCTATCAGCATCAGCAAGGCCTCCCGTAGCCAGGTCCTGGATGTGGTTTCTATTTTGCAGAAATCTTCATTCAAGAACCCAACTCATCTCGCTCAGCAACAGGATCCCTGGAGTCGGCTCAGCTCAACTCCTACGATCACCTCCATGAGGCGAGATGCCTATTTTTCTGATTCCAAGGTAGTGTTGAAAAACTATTCCTCTTTACATCCACCTAGGTCTCACTAATATCCTTTTTGAAAGGTAGGCTGTCCCTGACTGGTTTAGCATCTTTCCTTTTGTCCTTGATCTAAGATCTTACCAAATCCAAAACCAATTTATCAAGTCACAAGACAGGTTTTGCTCCAGGCAATTATCTGGAGCAAACAGTTTTACCAGACATCTCATTCTTTTTATTAACACAAAGACTGAATATAACCATGAATGAGGTGATGTCAATTAAGTCCATGTTGTAGATAATATTTCTATCTCCAGTAAGAGCTCACAACCCTTCAGACCCAAAATGGGGGCAATTCTGTATCAATAAGAGTTAAAAAATCATTATTTTTAGCTCAGTAGCTCTGGCTCCTGCCTTGCAAGCACAAGGTCTCAAGTTCAATCCCCGGAACCAAAAAACAGACAAACAAACAAAAAATCATTATGTACTCATTCAGTGCATAGACTTAGTAGACTTCAGCCCAAAAGAGACTTCACTGGATTTCTGGGGAATAAAGCCCAAGAGAACCAAGACTAAACTAAAGGCACAATCAAGTTAACCCCAGAGGACTGACTTCCCCTATAGATACCAAAGGATGATCTCGACTTCCGCTTAGCAGCCTTGTATGACCACCATACTGGGGCCTTCAAGAACAAAAGTGAGATATTGTTACACCACGAGACCATCCAAGACACTCATGAGTAAGTATTAGAGTCTCTTCACCCTAAGGAAGCTGCCCTCCAATCGCATAGGTGAAATGTCACCTGAAAGTAACAATCATTAGTTTCTCATTTGTGTAAAATGTCTATTTTTATATCTATATCAGTAATGTAATTTCTATATTTTTAGAACAGAAATGCTCCAAGATTGTGAGCCGGGCATGGTAGCACTTGCCTATAATCCTAGCACTCAGGAGGCTGAGGCAGGAGAACTGCTGTGAGTTCAAGGCCAGTCTGGAGCACATAGTGAGTTCAAGGTCAGCCTGAACCACACAGCAAGACTCTGTCTCGTAAAAAAAAAAAAAAAAGGAAGGAAAGAAAGCCTCCAGGGCTGGGGATTTAGCTCAGTGGCACTGTGCCTGCCTTGCAAGTGAAAGGACCTGAAAGCCTCCAAGATTATGCTCATCTGTACCAAAAAAGAAAAAAATTGGTTAATTCCAGAGGGTAAAAAGGGACTTGAGTGATTTAATTCTGGTATCTGGTGAAATTATCTTTCCCTTTTCTTCTCTTTCTCCCTTTTTTTCTCTCTCTGCAATGCTGGGGTTTGGAGATTGAGCCCAGGGCCTTTGCACTGAGCTACATCTGCATCCTCCCCCTACTTTTTATCATTTTAAAATTTTGAGACCAGTTCTCAGTAAGTTGTTAGGTTGTCCTGGGTGGCCTGAAACTTTTGCTCCTCCCTGCCTCAGCCTCCTACCTTTCTTTCTGATTGATTTCACTCTCCTCTGTTCTTCCCAACACCATCTAGAATTATCAAGACTCAGTTCCCTGGAGAATGTTTACCCCTTTCTCCTCCACCCCCCATCACGTCCCTGGCTACCATCAGACAGTGGATCAACCCTAAGAAGGAGTCCATCCACAGCGTCCAGGGAGCAATAGGTGAGGGTTAGGCCAGGGGGTGGGGGGCAGGGTGGTGCCAATCTTTCTGCATGGACTCGGGAATCTGGAACTTGAGGTTGCTGGCTGGTAGAAAGATCAGGCATTACTGAGGGTCCTGGCATGCTGAAAAACAGGGCTCAGAAATTCATTCAGCTTTTAGAGCCTCTTATCTGGGCTTTAGGTCTAAGTGATGATCATTTCCAACAGGGCAGGCAAAGGGCAGAAACCTGGAAGGGGAAGACTTAGACCTACCTCGCATCAGTCCTCCACACGCCAGTTACTCAACTATTACACGAGCCTTTTTCACAGGACTCATAAATGTATGGGTGATCCATGGATTCCAGGAAAGGCAAAGGATCTGAAATTCACAGCTCCTCGCTCTTCTCTTTTCTCCGCAGTGTCCCCTCATTCTGCAGCCACCCATGGAGGTTATTCCCGAAAGAATGACGGTGGCTTCTTCTCCACCTAGTAGTGGCGGGCTGCTAGACTAATCAGAGTGGAACATCCTGCTGTCTACCTCTATTAAACATTTGTGCAAGACAGTGCCTGAAGTCTCCGTTACCCATGACTGGGTTACCTCTTGACTGCTCTTAAAATATGAGAGGGAATCTTCCTGACCTCTAGAAATTAGTCCTGTTGGGTTTATTTGCAATTTGGAAGTTCATCTTGCTGAAGAGATAAGGATTTAGGACAGAACAGTCCAGTTTGTGGCAGGACATAGCATTCACATTTTGTAAACTGAAGTCACTCCAATTGCAGAGCCATCCACTTGTCACATCTCACAAACCTTTATGTCTGGAATTGAGTTAAGTGCACATAGCCCATTCTTCTGATGAACTCTGTTGAGTTTATGAACATTGTAATGTCAGCAGCTCCAAGTAGCATTACTACTTATGCAAGGCCACACTACGGATTTCGGACCTCCTGGGTGTGGTCATCTGCTGGACTCTTCACTGAGGGCTCCATCACTCTCGTCCTCCAATCCTGGCCATCACTGTTCAGTCTCTTAAATCTGCCACTGTCTCCTTCCCTGAAAGACAGTTCTCTTTTCTGTGTCTGTGCTGCAGTATATACTCTCAATTCTTATGAACAATGTTCAAAAGTCTGATACTTGGGTTTGACGGTACCTAAAACTTGATGCACTATTGTGATTTCTAAAATTACAAATCACAGGAAACTGCTGTCATAAAAAAGACTGGACAAGAAAATGGGCCAGTGAAACTTTACAATATTGTATAATAAATTCCCATCTCTAAGTTAGACAATGTATATATTATCAAGTAATTCAGACTTAAAAGGACTTCTTCTGCATACTCAAATGTCGGGTCCTTAAACCAAAGTGTCACAATCCCTTTCCACTGGGACCCTCTAATCTATTTAGATAGTTATCTCCTGGCAATACAAAGTTTCAGTTCTATTATTTTACTTTTCTTTTTGGTACCAGGGATCGAACTTGGGTCCTTGGGCTTGCACAGCAGGCAGCAAAACCACTGAGCTAAATCCCCGGCCCAGTTCTATTATTTTAAACAGCTGAAGGTGGCAGAGAGTGGTGGCTCATTCAGATTATTTCAGATACTGAACACCAAAAAAATGTACTAGCCTGACATGGTGGGGCACACCTGTAATTCCAGCATTCTGGGAGGCTGAGGAGGATGCAAACTCAAGCCCAGCCTGGACAACTTAGCAATTAACCAAGAGACTGACTCAAAAAAAAAAAAAAAAAAAAGTGCTGGAGGTACAACTCACTGTGAAGGACTTAGGTTCATTCCCTAGTACTGAAAAACAAAATCCTACTGAGGGAGCAGCTTAGTGGTAGAGTGCCACAGACCAGCTGCAGTCGATGCAGGGTGGGAATGGGAGAGGTCTCGGGCCGGCGAGCGAGAAAAGAACCTTCGCAAGCAATGTGCAGGTTCCCTCTGAGAAGTCTCAGGGTCTGATTTATTTTTATATCTTTAAGCAATGGCTAGGAGGCATTGGGCGGAACATATTTACATTCTGGGTTGCCTTGGCAACTTCTATAGAAGTAAAGGTTATTTTTTGCTAAACAAAGTATATTTTTCCTAAGCTGATTCATTTCATTGAACATCATGAGCACATTTTAAAAATTACAATTGTCCCCTTATTTACCCACACCTAAGCAGAACAGAAGGTAACTTAATCAAAATCTCTATATTAGCGGGGGTACAAGCAAGATTTAGTTAATTAAATGTCAAACTTGTGGTCATCAGCTGGCCCTTGAGAAACTGCCCAATGGTTAATATAGTTTGCTATTAGCTCTCTATTTTTCTATACCTCTATTCATCTTGCTTAAATGTTATTTGGGTTCATGGTCCATGAGCAGGAGATGTTTACAGTACTTTGAGAAAAACTGAGTAACTTGCCTCCTTAGTGTATTTATCTGTC